ACACCGTGGGGTTTTAGTCGGTAGGATTCCGACATAATCTTTCTGTTGCCTTCGCAGCAGAGAGATATCCATGAGGATTTCCCCACGTATAAATAAAAGGCGATGTGCAATCTTTGGCACGAAAGAATACCATCTACATTAAACAAATTATGTGAATTTATAGCCGTGGTAGCGTAATGGTTTGACCTACTGCCTCTCAAGCAGAATGTCATAGGTTCGAATCCGGGCTTGCACCTCTGAGTTTCCCGGAATTTATGTGGGAAATTTAATTTGAAATTTATCATGAGCTTCTCGGTGAAGAAAAACACCGTGATGAAACCTGCACGTTGAAGGAGGTTCACAACCCTCGGAAAACGTGTGAAGTCGCCAACCCGCATTGGGCCAGCGTGGCGGACTATGGCCTAAACCCTCGTCTGAAAGGAGACCCGTGCCCAGCAGTGGGACATATTTGTCTTGATATGTGAATTTTAACTGTCTCTGTGGCCGAACGGTTACCACGCCCGACTTCCACGCAGAAATATTTATAAGGCCTACATTTATATCTCGCGTCAGTTTGGATGTAATTTGTGGTTGTCTATGTCTGTGTCCATGGCACCCGCGACACAGGGTCTCCCTATTGCGGGGCTATGTTGAATGTGTGCGCTACTAATATATAATCTATTTTTTTTAAATTGTCCTGAAAAATTGTGATCTTGAAGATGTGGCCTTATTGACTATCGTATTTTTATTAGGTACTATTTTAATTTCTTTATACAATTTACTACGTAAAATTAAATATTTAATACTCATCAATTAATTCAAATTGTAATATTGTACATGTAAAGTGTTATTAACAATATAAATGACTATTTCTACCTACTGCTTTGATAATTTCATAAGCCATATCATAGAGGCGCTCTCTTCTGTTCTTTACCAAAATTCTATTGTCTATGGCACTCAGCTATGAGCAGAAAAAATTCATTAAAGTTCTGTACACAAAACTATAATGAGTTAACATTCACTCACTCACTCACTATAACTACACTCACACACATTGTACACAGAACTTTATTGAGTTTCGAAAAATAATGTCGTATTTTTGGTAATTAAAATATCGATTAGGATGCTGCTCAAACGCTATACTGCCTCCTCATTGGTCTATAAGGTCTTGTAACCGGGCCATAAGTCTTTATAAAAATGATTTGTTAAATATATATCAAATCGTACTTGGTCGGTTCTATCCTATCTCTTTGGGTTTTTTTGTAGCGTTTGTTGGCTATCATCTAAATAAATGAAGAGGCTGTTTGGTGAAAGCTTTGCCTACCCTAATAAATGATTTGAAACTTATGAAAAAAGGGATTCGCTCTGGGCCTTTTGGTGGGAAAAGTGTCGTTTTTATTTTGACTTTCAATTATTTTGTGAAATGTAGTTTAAAGTGGATATTTCGAATACATCCTTCCTTACAATAAATAAAACATATAAAATATTATTAATTTACTACGTTACATAGGATAGTACGTACTATAGTGCCTTAATCGAAGATTAAAACGCGAAATTATACGAATCTCGAACTAAAATATCCGTATCGGCCCGTTCTAAGGAATTCCGAGTCAATCCAAGCACGCCGCGCGCCGCCTCAAATTGCCTATCCTCTTTGTGGCGGCCATATTTACAGAAACATAATTAAACGAAGACATGGCTCAAAGGACTTGTATCCAAGCCAAATTTTTAATAAAATTATTAATAAAAAAAATATGAAAAAAGAATTGCGTTTGTTGTCGTGGAATTAAGAAAATGGCGGGTTTTAATAGTTACATTTTTTACACGAATAAATTTTTAGTTAATGTATATTACATTGTGCGTTTCTTGATTATTTGTTACCATTAAGCTGATGGCTCTGAAGCTAATGCTTTATAAATAAATAAATAAGTAATCTTGGAATTAATTAACAAAATATAAATTAAATATTGGTTTTGCTTTATAATTTTATTTACCTGTAGAAAAAGTATTGCGTGCAATCATTACATAATTAGGTCTTAATATATGGTACCTAATAGGCCACTCGGCATTTCGTCTTTAAGAACCTTCATTATGCAACGATTGCATAAAATTTTTTTTTTTTAATCACTAATCCTTGAATTTGTATCTTCTATCTACTAATACACTAAGTCTTTGTTACTTGAAAATAAATGGATTTGAATTGTAATACACCAAAACATGCGAATTAATAGAAAATTCAACGAAAAACACCTCTCGTGTCCCTTTTTTCTACCTGAAAACGAGGCCGATGTTAAATGGGAAAGCTGGTAGAATGATGCTAACAATGCGCGCAATGAGTGTGACTGTAATGTCATTCCTATTATTTTGTAGAGTAGGTAACAAAGCGCCGCGATTCTATGGAGTTTTGATTCATATCCAGATAGATTAGCCGGTGATCTGCAGAACAGAAAAATAACGAGTCGCTCAGATTATTTATTTTTGGGGAATGGACACAACAATAAGAAAATGTATCAGAATATACAGGTAAGGTACAAAAGACTGCGCTGACACAGAGCTTTTAACTGCCTCAGTGGCCGAACTGTTGCGATGCCGGAGTGCCACGCAGAGGTCCCAGGTTCGATTCCCGGGCCGGGAGAAATGTTCGTATGGCCTACATTTATTTCTCTCGTGAGTTTGGGTGTAATTTGTGGTTGTCTATGTGTGTGTCCATGGCACCCGCGACACAGAGTTGAAAGGGTTGTAACCCTAACAAGCCATGACCAGGTTCACGGCAGTAAAAGCAGAAAACTTCCGGTCCACAAATTTATTAAAAGTCGGGTTAAGAAGAAATGGTAACAAAGAAGTAAGGAGTAAGGCAGTAACAATAAAAAGGTATATATAGAAAAAACAGATACGTTAATATAAAACACTACACTTCCTAACATGACGAAAAAGATATTAGACACTTACCTTTAAAAGGTACACAGATACGTATTCATAGGTACATGGTAAGGCTGTGGACTGTTATACACTTATTAAGATTGATATATTATGATGATATATTGTAATGATTATAACTTAGAAAAACAATCAAAATTAGACGCGATTGAATTTAAACAGCTCCGTCAGCTGTCGCGATCGAGCAGGGAGTGACGTAGGAACGAAACAAAATCTGAATGTGAGGCACAAGAATGGAACAATTCAAAATTTCAATTTAAATACGAGTGGCCAGGAACCGGAGAAAGGCGATAAAAAGGTGGGATGACGACGCAAGGAGGTCACACCGTCACAGGGTTTCTCTAGTGCGAGGCTATGTCGAGTGTGTGAGCGTTCAATGTGGGCGATTCGTAATTGCGAAATAATTGCGGTCGTTTTACTCCTTGTTGTATTGTCATTACTAAAGCGTTAGTTATGAAATTAATGTATAAGATATTTAAGAATTCACTCTACAAGTCATACTCTTTACAAGCACGATTTATTGTAGTTTCCTTGACAAAAAAAATCCGAAGTTATCTCTTCGTTGTCTCTGTCATCTCTCAGTCGATCCTTGGGTTTCTATTAGGTCAATTCATTTTTTGGATAAAATTATATACAGATGAAGGCCATCGAGACACCACGGACTGCGGGAGGGTTTCGACTGTAAATAAGTAGACGAAGCCGAGGTTCTAGTACTTATTACTCTTTATTCTTTCTGCCAGCTCTGTTGCGAAGCCAGCACTCCTGCTGGTGTGCTGGAGAAGGGATGGGGCAAGTGTGTCGGCACACGTGGCGTCCCATAGATATATCAGACAATGTAAATGTGCCTGGTCATGTACAGTAAAGTGCCGCACACAATACTGTCACTCATAGATTATATCTATGCTGTCACTACTTTTGTTTATGCCAACAAGTTCTTAGGTTAGGTTTAGCGCGATTGGTACATATACGAAATTAAACAATGTGTTCGGGCTTTTTACAGGTCCCATGGTCACGGCAGACTGACAGTGAAACGTTGGTTTGTTTAAAAACAAATATACGCGAATTATATCCGAAAAATAGTATCATTTCCTATTTGGAAGTAAATAAATTTTGCGTAAAATCTTCTTTTTTTTAATATCAAGTGATGGGACGAACAAGTCGTGCGCCTGATGGTAAGCTGCACGCCTGTCCATAACAGTTGCAGTGCCACTCAAAGCTTTAAATTGCAAAGATCTGAGGGGCATTGCCACTGCGCCTGTCACCCTGAGACATAAGTTGACAAATCCCATGTGCCTGTAATATAACCTGGCCTTTACCTTTACCCTTCAAAACCGGAACACAGCAATGCTGACATTACTGCTTGACGGCAGGAATAGGTAAGGTGGCAGCACTTCCTGAGACGAACTCTTTCACGAGGAGCTCTACCGCTACAAAAAACTTCTTCAAATACTTCTTCTTCTTCTTTAAGTGCCTCTCCATTACTGAAGGTTGGAAGGTCAGTTTTCTATATATTTTTTGTCCTGAATAGTTGTTCTACTGTCTTGACGATCCACTCCCTGATATTACGAAGCCATGACATTTTCCTTTTTCCAGCTTTCCACTTCCCAACTGCTTTGTCCATCATTATGGTATGCAATAGATGATATCTGTCAAGTCGCATTACATGGCCCAAATAGGCAACCTACCAACCAGTGCGTACCAACTCCACTTTTTTCACCATACGTTTAAGGACATCGACATTCGTGCCCTTGTCCGTTCAACTAATGCAGAGCATTCTACGATAGCACCACATTTCGAACGCTTCAAATTTCTTTCTGAGGTCTTCTTTTATGGTTCATGATTCGCATGCATAAAATTGTGTAAAATATATTTACCAAATTCGTAGATAAAACCTATAACATATTTTAGCTGTTCTAAATAAACCTCGCATTAATATCAACCTCAAATAAATAAATCATATATCGTCAATTACATTTTCACACCCACTTGTCCACAGTTGCAGTGCAGGCCTCGGTTATTTTTAAGGGGAGGGGTAACCCTCTATAATTTAAATAAGATAGTGAGCATAGTAACTCTACGCCCTTCCGTGTTCACACGCTGTTACAGTTCTCTATTTAACTGCCACGGGGCGCGTGCTACTCAGTACATTACGATCGCGCGACTCAACTACGAGTTTTTTTATTCCCAGCTTTATTTAAAAACAATAAAATCGTATGTGAGGAGTGATTTCAATTATACGTGTGCTGAAATGGTGTTCAGTGATTTTATTTGAAAAGGTATGTTCTGTGATTTCTAGTGCGGTCATTATTGTTTTCTTTTATTGCTTTTACAGTTATTATTCTAATATTTTTAGTCAAGCGTACGTCTATTTTCAAAAAAAGGTGGAGGTTCAATTTGACTATATTATTTTGTGTGTGTGTGTGTTACGTTATTTCTCCGACATTTGTGAACCGATTTTGATGATTCTTTTTTATTAGAAAGGGAGTGCCTCAGTAGTGGCTGCTTTAAAATTTGAAGAAAATATTCCACCTCTTAAAAATGGAAAATTCAAAAATCAGGTTTATGAGATTTCACCCACTTTCAGTTAATTGATTTTAATAATATTTTTGAGGTCGGATATTTTAACAAAAAAGTGATATAATAATAAAAAAAAACTTGCTGAATTCTAAAATGAAAAACAAAAGTCATTTGTTTAAAGTAGGATGCGAAAAGTATCAGCTATCACTTGAAAACTCAAAATAAATTATATTACATACATCACAAAATATAATTATTAATATAAATGTTATAGTACAAATTATTGTCGTAAGTTGTAATCAACAATTCCTTCTTAAACACCAAATCTTTTTAATTTTTAAATAAATAAACATATAACAATAATAAATACAAGATGTATAAACTGACCTTAAGCATAAATTAAGGATTTAAACGATCTGTTTACTCAACAATCATTTGATAGATATACGCAGGGTTGAATGACATACGTAGTGGCATGTCTTATTTAAGATACAAATTACAATTTACTTTCTTACAAGTATTTAAAATATAAAAAAAATACGGTATTTTGACCTCATTTATTTCAAAACCGAACGCCATGAGAGTATTTGAAATAAAAATTCTAAATACGTGTTTGTATTACACGTAATTCAAATGCTGCTCAATGGATACATATATATATATATGTATAAATTGAAAAACAATTATATACAGAAATGATCTAATTCACAAAAAAAATATTGTTCATATCGGTACTATAATAGACATAAAATTACATTTTCTTATAGTATAATAAAAGTTTTGATAATATACACGGTGAATTTTTTATTGAATGTCAGAATGTTTCACCACAATGATATTCAATTATTTTTTTTGGAAATTACTCCACTAGTTTGTTATAATTATTCCTTCGATCCGGCCGGATTCGAAGGCATCTTTTCTAAGTGTTCGATCTTATAATAAATTAATCTAATTATAATATAACTCTTAGGACTATAATAAACACTAACTTTTTACAAATCATGGACATTTTACCAAAAATAATGGTGATCTACACGCCTGTCCATAACAGTCTCAGTGCTACTCAGAGCTTCGAATAGCAAAGATCTGAGGGGCATTGCCACTGCGCCCGTCACCCTGAGACATAAGTTGACAAGCCCCATCTGCCTGTAATTTCACCAGCGCCTTTACCCTTCAAACAAACTCTTTCACAAGGAGCTCTACTACTATTAGAATCTGATACTATTAAATTCTGTATTTGATAGTAAGTTTAAACGTGCAAGCTTCCTCCCCGACGACCCCTGTTGTCTTTTGTTACCGCACAGAGTTATCACCGTTCAGTGCGATTTATTTAAATATTTTTTTTATTTTTGTACGAAAGTAAACTTGAAATGAATTATCAAAAGTCATGCAACAAAAGTTGTTACAGTTGTAACAGTAATATAGTCTAGGTTGGTAGTATTTTACTATTACCGTGTATAGTAAAAGCTTTAGAGATTAGGGTTTCTGAACCTTTTTCTAGTCATGGGCCTCTCAAAATTTCAAAAAGACCACGGACCCTTTCCGAAATGATGAAGAAGAAGAAATGCTCTTGGGTCGCATTGACGCGCGTCTCGCTCAGTACCTATTTGACCATAACATATTGTATACCAATTCGCATTTCTTATGTTAGGTAAGCTCACCATGAACCCCCAGGTGTTCATTACACGGACCTCTTAGGGGACCATGGACCACAGGTTAAGAAACCGTGTTAGATTTTGAATTATCATGTTCAATTATCACTTTTAGATAGTGTAGTTTAATATTATTCAACTTCGTTATAAAAATAAATTAAATAAAAGAAAAGAAAAAAAACAACAATTATTATTATTGTACGATATGAGTTGCTAGGTTAGGTACATTATATGGTTGAATTTGAAATGTAAGTGTAATAATGTTCACGCACTGTTGACTATACTAGCATATAAACTTCAATATATATATATATATATATTTCTGGCAGTTCAAGGGCAAATTCTTTACATTTACTTGTAAAATTATAATAATAATTGCATTATATAACTAACATCATATTAGTAGCAGTAGAGGTCCTTGTAAAAGAGTTCGTCCAGGGAAGTACTGCCACCTTAAGTATTTCTGCGACCAAGCAGTAATGTGAGTATTACTGCGTTTCGACGTTCAGTATAGCAGTAATGCCGCCGATATCAATAGAATCTTTGTCCTGCAGAAACGTGCAGTTAGGGCAACTTACAATCTGGGCCCCAAAGTATCTTTGAGAGATAAGTTTAAGGAAATTAACATTCTTACACTAGCCTCACAGTACATTTATGAAAATGTAATTTATGTTAAAAGGAATAGTAATTTCTTTATGAAAAATAGTGACAGACATAACATTAATACGAGGAATAAAAATAAACTAGCTTTTCTTGATAGTCGTCTTCACAAAGTCAAAAATCATTTAAGGGGCAATGTACGCTTCTATAACAAGATTCCGGTTGATATACAAAATTTGCCTTTCACGAGGTTTAAAACTATAGTGAAACAAAAACTTTATACTAAAGGTTATTATACAACTTCTGCGTACTTGGATGACAAAAATCCGTGGTAGTAACACGTTTAGCTCATGGAGGTAGTCTCGATCTCTGATGTTTCAAATAAAAAAAAAAATATTGTAAATGTTATTTACAAAGAGCAACCCCTAGAGTTTCTTGCTCATTGTTCTCAGGGGAATCTGCCTTAAGAATGAGCGGTACAGTTTAACTATTGTGACGATTTCAAGTGTAATAATGCTTACCTATGAAATAAAGATTATTTTGAATTTGAATTTCAATTTAGTGGCAGTGCCTTAGATCTTTGTGATTTTTTTTTATACCTGACAGGCAGATGGCTCCACTTCATCTGACGTAAAATGAAAAGTGGAATCCAAACGCGAAGGAACCTAGTGCAGTGTTGATACAATAACAGTTCGAAGTTTCAAGTTTCAAGCTCAGAGCGGCACTGCAACTGTAATGGACAGGCATGTCGCTTGCCACCAGGCGCACGACATTATATTGCGACGACGTATAATAGACGCAAATATATTTTTTGGTAAATTTATCATGTTTTGTCAAAAGTCACAGGGCAACAGTTGTTATTTATGATGTTAATATAATCTAGTACTTCTAGGTTGGTTAGTATTTTAAAAATTAAAATTGTAAGTTACGCGCTTAAATATCAAATTTTCGATTTTTTTATAATAACGCACACATAGCCCCACACTAGGGAAACCCTGTATCGCGGGTGCCATGAACATACACATAGACAACCACAAATTACACCTAAACTCACGAGAGAAATAAATGTAGGCCAAACAAATATTTCTCCTGGCCCGGGAATCGAACCCGAGACCTCTGCGTGACAGTCCAGCATGGTAACCGTTTGGCCACAGAGGCAGCTATAGTTTCACAGTATTTTAACAACAAGTACCTACGAAGAAACGAGTAGTTATACCCTTGAAACTTTGATTTTATAGCTTTCATATGGTATTTACATAGCTGCCTATTTACATAGATACATACTGGTATTTAAATAACAGCGGGCTTTACACAGACACTCTATTGCGTGCGATACAGGAACCTTGCGCGATTGAGACAAAGAGAAACCCGAAAATTTGAAAATTTAACTTTTCATTGTTCTTACTTATCTATTTGTTTAGCACTGGCTATAGAGCTATCAGTTTAATCAAGCAACAAAGGATTAAGAAACTTAAAACGTAATAATACTTTAAATTAAAAATTAATTTGTCAAAAACTGTAACTACAAAAACCCGTCATTTTTTCATTGTTCTTACCACAAAAGTAAAATTTTTGCAGGGACATAAAGATTCTTTTGTATGTTAGAATCAATGAGAACATGATATTGATAACCCAGAAACAAAAAAAAAACGCACTATTGCACTGTAAGATTAGTAGCTTAGCTTAGGATGAATCCGGTTTCTTGGATTTCACAGATTGACCGTTTTCAATAAAACTTAGCAAATTTTTACATTACGTCATATGTAATTCCACAAACTTTTGGGGGTGGTTTTTTAACAAATAGAATATAGAATTATTAATACTTTCACATGAGCCTGCACAAATGCATTAAGTAAATCAATGAGTAATTTGAACGCGGTGATATTTGTCAATTTTAATGATATAATTATAAAACTAGATGTTATCACGAATACGGTCTCAAGTTGAAATATGACAGGAACTGAATACACACATTCAATTTTACCGCAATTTCAAACCTCTCCATTACCTTTACTATGAAACTATGTCTCCTCCCTTCCTTACACCCTTGTTGTGTTCCCGTTGCTAAGGGGCGTAAACCCCGCTACGGAATAATAAAGATGTCGATAAACTTGATAACTGTTTTTATCATGCTGATTGATATTGCAGGGTATAATAAATAGTTAATATCATGGACCAATAGTTGAAGAGAGACTTATAATCGCGGTATAAGACAGCGTAGTCGGGTATTTAGTACTTATTGGTAAATCAGATGTCGCTATGAGTACGAAATAGCTATTTTTGTAAGTAATTTGTTTTGCAATTTACTAAAGCTATTCTAATATCCAGCCCCGGATTTACGATTTTTTCTAACCGGGGCAGAAATTTGATAGTGGCGCTCCCTCTCTTCATAATTTGTGATAAATTGTTAAAAAACTCACAAATAAGTGGTATTTTTGGTGATCGGGAGAATAAGAACCCTTTAATAAATTTGCTTTTCTTGATCTTTATTGTTTATTAGCTAACTT